CACTCACAAAATACACAGTTAATCCACTTTACAGTATATCCTGTGAAGTGTTATAGATCGGTGGACGATATAAATCCCGTGGCACTATTTGAAAAGAGGAGGAGTTTCTTCCGGTGCCTGGCCATGATCCCCTTGATAAAATTGATCATGCACCTCGTGGCTTTATTGTGGGACTTTGATGTGTGCAATTTTCTTTTCCAGTTTTCTAGTTATTCAAGTCTTTGTTTAAAGATGTTTTGACATTACAGCAAACCTAGCACTCGGGGCGTCCTGACAAGTTATCAGAAGCGCTACAGTTTGGCATTAAGCAGTAACAAAGATAAGCCCAAGCTCCACTTATTTGCACAGATAAATATATTTAACTGGAGATTTGTGCCCTCCAGAAGGCGACTGGTAATCCAGTGTGTTACCGGTGACTGTATTAGAGAAGACCCAGATTTTGCTCTTAACACAGGGTGCATCACTTGTGTAACGCTAGCAAAAAGAAGGAAGAAAAGCGATGCGGTGAACTGTCATCACCATAACATGACATTTGGAAGTCTCCCAAAAAGCCGACGGTTGACTTTAATGGACACATTATTTACATTTATCACATGCCATATTTTAAAGGTTGCTTGGATTGGGGGAAGAGGGTGGCGGGGGAGGAGTGGAGGAGAGTTGGGGGAGGAAAAGAGTAATCAATCTCACATCTATAGATCAATGACTGAAACAGTGCAGAGACTTGCTGTCTGTCTCTTCCCGGAATTCAATTTCATAGTGAATGCTTTATGTTTCTCTTGTGCAGTAGTTTAAGCCTGGCTGGGGATGTTAGATTCAGCGTGTGTGGTATTCCCAGCATGGTGTGACTTCAAATACTGAAGTACGGATTAATTTGGTCCCATTTGATCGCTGGATAGAGAGAATAAACGTCTTGTAATTGTTCTTGTCACTCATGCCTGTAATCGCTGAGGATCTAATGTGTGGTATTTCTTAATGGGTTTCCTCAATAAAGAATTATTGTCCTTGACAAGAGAGTTCTAACAGGGTTCCTTCCTGCAAAGAAATACCACAAGTTATACCCAGTTGAGTGTTTTCAGCGGCTCTATTGCTTTGCCACTTTGCTTGTCGGCCTGACTCAGTCGGTAGCACTCTCGCCTCTGAGACGTGAAAGGTTGCAGGTTCAAAACCCACGTTGGGACTTTGAGCTCTCAGCTGACGCCCTAGTGCAATGCTAGGAGAGCTGATTAATGGATTGAATGAAACAATATTCAAGCTTAAAATAATGCAGCTAAATAACACAACTGAGAACAAAGGACGTGGGATTCGACATTACACACAGTGATAGCTGGTCATTCAACCCAACTAGTCCATGCCGGTGCACTAGTGAAACATGACATGGGTTCCCTTGCCTAGTAAAGAGGTGTTTCATTTTAATATGACCTTGTATTGTGAAATGTCATGATGTATTTACACCTGATATATTTGAGGTGTCCTGGAATAGTATTCTTTATGATTCTCTAAAGTGACTAGATCTCTCCCACACTTGACCCTGATTTGGTTTGGTAGAACAAGAATGATTTGCATTCAGATAGCATTTAGATATTATATTTGCAACTGTATACTCCACTCAAGCAGCACCTCAGTAGCAGTCTAAGTACACTGTGGCTGCACAATAAAAGTTTGCAGTGAGTATAAACTCTTTTTGTTTTATCTTCTCGGTCTTAGCATCAGTGGACAACAGGACAGTGACAAGCTCCCTGCGTGCCTCCTAAATCGAGGAAGGTATATCTTTTAGGTGGAAGGTTAATGGATACTGACATATATACAATAATTAGTGGACCAGAAAGAGGATAAAAACAAGCATCCCTTGGGAACTGATAGATTCAGATTATTGATTTGGTGTCTTATGCAGAAGGTACTGTGAAATGTGATCTGAACCATACTTTGTACCCATAATATTGGATTTGATATTGTTATTTTGGTTTTGCTTGGAGGAACAACGTAAAAGATCCGGATGTGTATCATACTTTCGTGACTAGTGAATAATCATTCCGAATGAATATTTTAAAATAACCCAGTCTGCAACTTTCATAAATATTTTGCCTTGTCCTTTTGTGTGCTGTAATATAATGATCCATGCGATGGAAAACAGAAACTGGGGAATTAATACATTTATACGTGTATTCATCCAATTAATCAGGCATAAGTAACCCCACAGAAGAAATCGATTTTTTTTAAGTTAACTTACCTATTCAACCAAATGCTGCAGCCATCATGTGAAAGGCCACCTGGTGCTCTCATTCTCTCGCTTGCTTTTTTTCCACCCTGTTCTTTCTTTCCCTCTAGTCCTTTTTCTCTCTCTCTCTCTCTCTCTCACTTCCTCTTTCTTTCCCTCGCATGGAGTCCTGTAGCTCAGTGGTTAGAGCACTCGCTTTGCAAGCGAGAGACCTGAGTTCAATTCCAGGCAGAGGGCGAAACCTTGGGCAAGTTTCCTTATTCCATACGCCTAATAATAATCCCTCCAAAAACCAAAAACAATAATAAATTGTCATTTTCAATCTACGACTGTTTGTGGGACATTGCTGTGCGCAATTGGCTGCCGCGTTCGCCCACAAATATACAGTCAATTCACTTTACAGTATATTCTGTGAAGCGCTTTGGGACGTCCTCCCAACGTGAAAAGCGCTATATCAAACACAAGGATTATTATTCCGCTCCTACTTTTTATTTTTCTCTGCGCTTTCTTTCTTTCTTTCTTTCTTTCTTTCTTTCTTTCTTTCTTTCTTTCTTTCTTTTTTTTTTTTTTTCTTTCTTTCTTTCTTTCTTTCTTTCTTTCTTTCTTTCTTTTTCTTTCTTTCTTTCTTTCTTTCTTTCTTTCTTTCTTTCTTTCTTTCTTTCTTTCGTTCTTTCGTTCTTTCGTTCTTTCTTTCTTTCTTTTGACCCATCAACTCTTCTCCTTTGCAAAACCTACTTGATCTGGTCTATCTCAAGAGGAAAGGAAGTTACCTCCTGCCTCTGAAGGCAGATCAAGTGAAAACTTTGAACTATTCCTATAAATCAGGAAACAAACCGTTGCTTTTCTCATTACCCAACTATTGTCCACCGACTAATACGATGCTGACCAAAAGTGATCAGTAATGTGCAAGAGCATTGTGTTTTCAGCTATCAAACACTTCTGGCTCGATTCCCAGTCCTGGTCCTGTGGATTGTCACACTGTTAAAGAGCATAAAAATTTGCTAGGCAAAAGAGGAGGAGAGTGGAGTTGGCCTGAGGCACTCATTTACAATCAGAACAGCATAGAACATGAGTGGACAGCAAAGGACACAACGGGAGTGAAGCTTTACTGCCCGAAGACTGTAATTCATTTCTTTAAAGAGATAATATTCCTCTTGCTTGTGCCACTTGGGCCCATCCTTTATTTCAATTGTCTTTCACGTAAAGAGTTCCTGAAAAAAACAAAGGCGGTGGCCCCAAATGGGACAAAGCATTTAAAAGAGATGTTTGAGCTTTCTTCATCTCGAGCTAACTGGAACTGCTGAGATTGCGCCCATTCATCCCGATGTCTCCATGCTGTCATGTTGAGGCCTGGCACTGACTTAATGTACCTGACATCACATAATCAGCCAGGCTCGTGGGAGAGCATACCGAATGCCAATGGCTACCAGAGAACAGATCAGTGAGGGTATTTTATTCAGGTATTTCATTTGAATGTTTGATTCTTTTTCCATGCGATTCATTTTTAAATTGAAAAGAAGCTCACGGAAGGAGCGGTGAGTTGAAATGCTAGTGAGCAAAGCACTCCCCCAAAATGTGAACCTGGACACTTATATCTAGCAATTTATTGTTGTGATTTGTGTATTTCAATCATTTTACTCCTTGTTTTTGGCTTCTGAAAACTATGAAAAAACATCGTCCAGATTAAGAATGAAGAATTTTTCATAATTTTGACAGTTTAAATTTTAACACAGAAAGCTTTTAAAGACTAAGGTATAGGTGCGTTTCAGGCATGATCCAGTGTAACGACCAGATTTGGGGTCTAAAATGTGATGCAGTAATTCACAAAAGACTTTTTAAAGACAGAATCCTTCCAGTAACCGGATGTGCATCACACTGACGCTGACTTACTTTATAATCAACACTGAGCTTCACTCCTCACTACTGCAAAGCTTTAGCAGACGTCAGGGAAGCATTTATTCCAATGAAGTCTTGACAGTTTATAGGCTTTTTCTTGTATTAAGAAACTGAAGTGAAAGACCAAGGTCAGTAGTACAGGATGTCAGTGAGGTTCAGAAGTGGAAAAGACGAAATGAGATAAATCAAGAATTGGTGCTGATATCACCTCAAGTCAAGATTTAAAAACCTTGAGTTGGTACCTGCCACCAACCTAATAGCAGTGAGATATGTAGATATATATCTTTATATAAAGAAATTACTCATGTTTGTTTCTTAGATGTTTTCTTGTGTGACTTTGGATAATGAAAGAACGGATTTCAAGTGAACCATCTTTATATTTTTCCAATAATAATAAATTCAGTTATTGGCCATTGATATGAGAGAGAAATCATTAGCAGTGGTGGAGAACGGTGTTGTGGAGTCCTGTAGCTCAGTGGTTAAAGCACTCGCCTCGCAAGCGAGAGACCTGGGTATTATTCCCAGCAGGGCAAAATGTTGGGCAAGTTTCCTTACTCCACACGCCTCTGTTTACCTAGCAGTAAGTAGGAACCAGTTGTTAGTCGAATGGTGGATCTCATTTCCAGGGGTAATAATTCCTTTTATATAAAAAAATTAGTCACTTCAATCCACGACTGTTTGTGGGACACTGCTGTGTGCAATTTCCTGCCACGTTTCGCCCATAAAATATGTAGTCAATTCACTTTGCAGTATATTCTGTGAAGCACTTTGAAACGTCTCGAAGACGGTGATAAGGAGCTATATCAAACGCAAGGATTATTTTTATTATTATTAATTGAAGGTGGCCCTGAGGCAAGTTTTCTGACTGCATTTGTATCCTGTTCTCCAGCATGCATGTGATGCACGTGGATTCAGTCCAGCACTGGATGAAGGACTTGAGGCTAATGGCTGAATGTGAATGCATGTGCATACTTCAGTCCAAGCCTATCAGCACAGATGGTGATGGGCAAAGTGAGCTGGTGGTGGCACCCCAGCGCATCTTAGAAGACAAGCTTCAGGCCCTGCTGAAGAGAGCTTGGATCATTACCACCGAACTGAGCAAGATCTTCCACAAGCTGGAGCAGAACCGTTGGCAGAGGATTCACAGCACGGCTGTGAGGGTGGGCTGCCATGTCCGATCGTTGATTAACGAATACAACAGCTACACCGGGAGCACACCAGCGGAGATGCGTCAGGTAATGCCAACCCAGGTAACCGGAGAGAGGCGAATTATTCATGGGAGTGCTGACTTCAGATGAATGGTTAGACTGAGGTTTGATTCCCGGCAGGGTGAAATGTTGGGCAAGTTTCCTTACTCCACACACCACTGTTTACCCAACAGTATGTAGGAACTCGGTTGTTAGTCGATTGGCGGATCGCTTTTCCATGGGTAATAATTCCTTAAAAAAATTATAATAAATTGGGTCACTTCAATCCACAACTGTTTGTGGAACGTTGCTGTGCGCAATTGGCTGCTGCATTTTTCCCACAAAAATATACAGTCAATTCACTATTTTTGAGCGCTTTGAGTGGTCTCAAAGACGTAATAAGTCGTTATATCAAATGCAGGGATTATTATTATTATTTCTGTAAAATGCTTTGAGACATTATTTAATTCCCTCTTCAGATATTACTATTTTACACATCAGTTTGAAATACTAATAAATAATATCTCCTTTTGTCCTGGCAACGTGGAGACAGGCGAAGCAATTTGAAATCAGCGCGTGTTGCTTTCATTGGTAATTATGCACTGGGAAAGGTCAGATATTCAGTTGTCAACATCATAGATTTTTACCTTGTTGCTTTACAGTCTAATCCCTCCCTGCCCCTGTAGTAATTACTTACTGTATCGAGACAGCATGAACCAACTCACTCTAATTAGCTGTGTGAGAGAGCACTGGAAAAGAACTCTCACATTCGAATCTGCTTTCAAAAGTGGGCACCAAAGGTTTCAAGCATCAGGCTGATGTGATTCTACACAGCTGTGTAACTACTCCTTTAAAACAATTTAGATTGGGAGAAACTGGGCATGAGTGCTCCCTTCCCCCTCCTTTACACACACACACACTCATACCCACCCAACTGGCTTTTCACTAATGTTGAGAATCTATTGTTTCTTTTGTGATATCCCCATTACATTATCTGTTAACACATGTTTTTTTTCTATGTGCAGTTTGAAGAGTCTTTAATGAAGCAATGTTCAGACCTGACTGCAATGACTGAGAGGTAGGCTTCTCCTCTCTGTGTTTGTTTGTGGCAAATATTTCCACAATTTTCTATTGGCCCTGGTGATGACCCACTGAACGTGCGATTTTACACAAGCCGCTTTGAAGGGTGTCGCTTTGAGATGGTCATTTTACTGGAAGCGCATTATGGATGCGGGATGGTGGATTGAAGTCATGTTTGTCTGATGCAAGGGGATGGGGGGTATTGGAAACAAGGGTCCCAGAGCTGGAGCTCAATCTTTGTGCCTTTCTCTGCAGGTGTGTAGGTGTTGAAGATCCGGAAACCTTGAAGCCAATGAAAGGCGTGATTGTTGGTGCCCTGATGTCGCTGAGCCAGTCTTTCAGCCAAATGGTTGAACTGGCTCTAACGCATGAAATACAGGTCAGTGAAGAAATGCAGGTCAGAAATGCAAGTGGCAAAGAGCAATGCATTGATAGAGTTGCATAGAGTCACCTACAATGCTACAGCACTGAAACAGATCATTTGGCACAATTCGGTGTTTGTACTCCATATAAACCTCCTAATCTCCCCTTTTATGTCCCTCCTAATCTCATCCCTATTTTGTTGTACCCCTACCAATATAATCACCGCTCTTATACCCCTCCATTTATTTCTCCCTTGTGCTTTCATTTGAAGCATCATTTTGTGCATGCAATTTATATACACTGGGATGGAAGGAGGGGGGTTCTTGACATATGTTCTCAATTTGTAATCCATTTAATTGGAATTACTCAACTGTGTCAGTGGTGGACCCCCTCCTCCCCTTCCTCGCTCCCCACACATGAAACCACAGACACCCTTTTCATTGCCAGTGGTTCTGATGCCAGCTCAACATTTCCCCCCCGCCCCCACCACCCCACCTGAGGTTGATTATTTTGGATTGTGTTTTCCGCTTAAATATAATGTGAAATATAGACCAAACCTAAAAGAATGAGTCAGTCGCTACTGTTCTTACTCCATTTCATTAGCGAGAAAATTAACTACTTGACCTGGAGAAGGATAGGTCAAATAGTCGGCATTGATAAATTACTGTTAGCGTCAGCCTGGACTCAATAAATTAAATGGGAACACCGTGTAGGTTAATGTGAGTGAAATACAGTATGCAATGAAACGTCAGCCTCTGGAATGTGAACCTGCACATGAACTGCTCTGTGGAAACCAGGTAAAAGAAGAATTCAGACTTGTTCTAGTTACTTTAGCTGCAAAGGGATAGGGAGTGTAGCAAACTAACTCAGTGAAGCCAGAAAATAGCAAACTTATACAGCAGAGAGCCCAACATCAGTACTAATTGGGATCTTGGATGAGAAAACAGTGCAGATGTGTATAGATCTTTCTTTGCCATTCCAAACTCTTACCATGTGTTTTTGCACATGTGGGTGTGTGTCAAACCTTGCCAACTACTCTGTGTCTCTCTCTCCTCTACCTGTGCGTGTTTGTGTCTCTCTGACTATCTGTGTGTGGCTCTCACTCTCTGTCCAATTCTCTCTCTCTCATAATAATAATAATCCTTGCATTTGATATAGTGCTTTTCACGTCGGGAGGACGTCCCAAAGCGCTTCACAGAACACACTGAAAAGTGAATTGACTGTATATTTGTGGGCGAACGCGGCAGCCAATTGCGCACAGCAATGTCCCACAAACAGTCGTTGATTGAAAATGACCAATTTTTATTATTGTTTTTTTGGTTTTGGAGGGATTATTATTAGGCGTGTGGAGTAAGGAAACTTGCCCAAGGTTTCGCCCTGACCTGCCTGGAATTGAACTCAGGTCTCTCGCTTGCAAAGCGAGTGCTTTAACCACTGAGCTACAGGACTCCACAGATCTATCTATGATAAAGCATTATGCCTTGTAACCTTATCACACTGTAGGCGTGAAATGGATTTGTAGTTTGAAAGTAGCTCTAATTGATGAGGACACATTATGGCAGAGATCAGGAATTATTGGGAGAGCGATTGATCACTTCACCAGCTGCTGTTACACAATGAGTAAGATATATTTCAGGTCTCACCAATTTTTCGCTCCTACTTCTCCTTTGCTGATGGCAGTTGACATTGTTTGCTTTCCAATGGGACAGGATTCCACAGGTACTGATCCCTTTCCGGTACTTCACCCGAGTAGATACTGTTCAAGACAGTGTCGGCAGCTTATCCCATCATGGAGCAACATCAAAATTAAACTTGTATAACGCCTTTCACATCGGGAGGACATCCCAAGGCACTGGACAGACCAGGGTTTTTTTTGCATCTGACCCGGGGGTTGGCATCAGGAGGGGTGGAGGGCAGGGAGGGTGGGGAAAGGAGTTTGACTGACAGTAAGGCAAAGTAAAGGAGCTTTGTTTATCGGGACTTAAGAGTGCTTTGTTCTAACACTGAATCCCAAACTAGAAAAACATTCCAATCGCCAGCCCTTTCTATTGATCACTTTCATGGCAACAAACCTTCACCCAAGAAAATATAAGCTTTCACAAGGACCATTTTATATTGTGAGCAGCAGTGCAGCCAAGTTGGTTCTAAAAAACTAAATTTCCTTTTCTTCTAAATGTAATTGGGGATGGTAGATCTTGACTTTTATCTACAACAACAATAGCAACAAAAATAATCTACAGTTGTATATATTAGGGAAATAACAAGTGGGAAAGGTGATCGGAAAGTGTGTGACAAAAGAAATTAAGATATTGGTTTGACATGGGTTATGGAGGTCAGAAATCTAAGAAGTATTATACCAGTTAATATTGCCCATGCCAGAGGACTCAGGGAGACATTTAATCGTCTCTCGGTGTAATGTAATACCCTGGCTCTGTCTTTTCTTATTGAGATGGTAAATAATCTTCAGCAATATGTTGTCATTCTGAATGGTGACAGATCTTTCAGTCGTTTGCTCCGTGGCTATGATTTTTTTTCCCTCTGTAAGTAAATACCTGTCCAGTCTTCATCCCAATGATGAATATACCTAATAGAGTGCCAGTGAAGTACTATGCTATTGAGGCCTGTTTAACCTAAAGGCATTAATTTATTTCAAATGTACCAATTCCAAACTACTTGATGGTAATTCTTGCTTTTTCATTGAAATAAATGATTGTCATTGAGTGTGTGACATTCCAGATATGTTAACTCTTTGTAGAAAATAATGTGGTTGTGTAGTCGTTTTACTCATTCACTAGTTGTCACTTTCAATTTTTTCGCTTCTCCTGCGCTCTTTCTCCTTCTACTGGAGCACATTCCCAGAGGCCATTGTCAGAAGTACTGTCCTTTAGATAAGTTATTAAACCAAGTCCCCATCTGCCTTTTTAGGTGGACGTTAATGATTCCATGGCACTGTTCGAAAAGGGAAGGGAGTTTCTCCCAGTGTCCTGGCCAACCATCCCCCAAATAAAACTGGTCAATCACTTAATGGCTGTTTGTGGGACATTGCTGTGTGCAAATTTACTGCCACGTTCACCCACAAAATAATAATAATAATAATAATCCTTGCATTTGATATAGCGCTTTTCACGTCGGGAGGACGTCCCAAAGCGCTTCACAGAACACACTGTAAAGTGAATTGACTGTATATTTGTGGGCGAACTCGGCAGCCAATTGCGCACAACAATGTCCCACAAACAATCGTAGATTGAAAATGACCAATTTTATTATTGTTTTTGGTTTTGGTGGGATTATTATTAGACGTGTGGAGTAAGGAAACTTGCCCAAGGTTTCGCCCTGTCTGGAATTGAACTCAGGTCTCTCGCTTGCAAAGCGAGTGCTCTAACCACTGAGCTACAGGACTCCACAAAGACACAGTCATTACACTCTACAGTATATTCTGTGAAGTACTTTGGGACGTGCTTCTAACATGAAAAGATGATTATCGTTATAAAGAACAGGCAAAAACGTAACAGAGAAAAGGACTTCCTCAATGGTAGTTTTTTCTCACAAAAAAAAAACTCCCTCCATTAGTTTGGGGGTGTATTTAATGGTTAGAGTTATTGAATTTTTTGATCCCTTCATCAGTTGCATTTCTTCAGGAATAAAACAATTAATTCCATGCATCGCAGAAACGTGAACAATAAGCTTGTAGGAGTCCCAGTAACTTGTCAGCAGACGTACATGGTAATGGTTAGCTGCCTTGTGGGTGTCAGGAACTATAAGAGTCTGCTGGAGTGTCATCATGCTTAATTTGAATGGAATCTTTCCTGCTCATTGTTTCTTTGTGGTTATGTATTAAGTTCATCAACCTACAACAACCACTTGCATTTATATAGCGCCCTTCATCCAGAATAGCGGCTCAGAGCACTGCACAATGGTGGGGTTGGACTCCCATACCTAGGAGAGGGACTAACATGTGGGACATTTTTTGTACTTCGCTGTTGGTAGCAAATACCCTTACTCGATAATACACTGTGCCCTGGTGTGATGAACAGATTCCCCGAGTACAGAATCTTTTGTTGTCTTAACAGACAATTTATAAAGTGCCTCCAAGGATAGCTTGTAATATTGCCTCCAATGTTGAATCGGACTTTAGTAAGTAAACAAATTTGTTTCCTTTTATGTCTTTCTCTTGTTGGATGATGTTTTGGGTCTTGGGATTTCCTGGCAACAGTACAATTTCAGCCTTGTCTATCAGTATTTATAGAGAAGACATGAATTCTTTGGAGGATTGCGCTCATTGAATCACGCACACTCTGCAGTTGTCTGATTTGTACTGTTGAACAGAAAAAAAGTGAACGATTTAATAAAAGATTTTTAACTGTTTCTAAAACTCCACTGCCCTGATCCTCCCCTGCACCAAACTCCGCATGCCCATGATTCCAGTTCTTGCCAGGCTCCACTGTCTCCCCTTCTCCCAGTGGATCAATTTCAAGATCCTCACCTACAAATGCATCTGCACCCTGGCACATCCTTATCCTTATCTTTCCGATCTTCTATTCTGCTTCTCCTCTTGCCTCCTCTGTGCCTCTGCCAATGTCCAAGCCTTCACTTGCTTACCCTCTACCCTCAGGTACTCTTTTACCCTTCACTCTCGCCTCCACTTTGTCTTCAATACCTACCTCAAAGCCTTTCTATTCAATAGCTATTACAGTCACCTCCCCTTCCCCCTCTCTCTAACTTGACGTCCAACCCCATCCTTGTAAAGCTCTCCGAGATCGTACCCTACCTGAAGGGTTTTACTTTCTTACAAGTTTTTGGATTGAGAAAAACACAGTGATTATATTTCACCCAGTTTTTTAGTTTGACTTAGGCTGTTAGTATTGAATAGCAGGGATTTACACTGAGAAAATTTATGAATGGTCGATTATTAACTAAAATACGTAGAACAACAGAAATTTATGGCCCAGAAGAAGGCCATCGTGTCTGCACTGGCTCCTTCGAAAGCAATCCTTTCAGTACCGTTCACCTGCCCTCTCTCCATAACCCTGGAGCTGACTTGAAACACCTTCTCTCGGCTGCTTAAAAGTCCCCATTTAAACTGCATCTTTAGAACCGCTTAAACATCCCAAATCATTGTGATTTGCAGCTGAAAGTCAATTTAATAACTGCATTAAAACACCCTCCCCTACCTCCACGCCAACTGCCCCCTCCCCTCATCTCCACAGCAGATCTGGGGCTAAACCTCGGGTGAAAGGTTTTAGACTCGATTAAGGGCAGGTCAGATAGGTTTGGGATTAGGCCAGATGTCTATCACAATAGATGGGTCAAATCATTTGTTTTTCTTCAGTCTACTTTTGGAGTAAATGTTTTTACCCATTAAACACCTGAGATGGCTCATGCAGTGCTCTTTTGCTCTGTTTCATTCAATTAGTAAATAATGTTTTTGCACAACATTTCCATTTTTGCAGCAAATTTCCATTCACTAGCAGGTATTCAGTGTAAATTGACATTTGGACCAGAATCAAAGATTAAATCTTATTTTATGCATTTATTTAATATGCACGTTCACATATGTGTATTAATCTTAAAGATTGTAAATCAAAAGAGAAAGAAAGTAATAATGCCGGAGGATAAAGGGTTAATCCCTTAATAGACCATTCTGTTGGACTCGACACATGGAGAAATAAGTATGATCTGTGTGACTTGCTCTCTTGAGTAGAGATAGGAATCTGTTCAAGTGGTGTGCAGTATTTTGTAAACTCGCTCCTATTATTCGTCAGAAGAGCGATTTCCATCTGTCCATTCAAATGAAATGTTTCGCTGATAGGCAAGCAGCGAGTGAAAGGTGAAGCAAAGTCAAGGTCTCACTGGCTTGTCACCCGCCCTCTGGAGAAGAGTCTTGAGTTTCATTTCCTGGAGCTGTACTGGCGAGCTAAAGCTTTTCAATGCATTAGAACCGTTTCCGTAAAATAAGTGCCGTTGCTTTGTGCGATGGTAAACTGATTTGGGTTAAAAAAAACTCGATGAATTAAACTGCTCCCGGGGAAATTGAAAAGCTGATCTTTGGTAACAAAGAATTATTTCGTACCGTCCTGTATTCCTGTTGCAATTTGTAGCCAATGGTATTTTCAACAATTATTTAAAGCTGATTTGTTAAGCCTTAGAAAAGAGTTGTGTAAACCTCAAGCTACGAGCAAACATGTTTTCACTGTTATTGCCGTAATGCAAATCCCCATTAGTTAATCTGTGTAAAGTGATGAATGGCTGCTTTGCCTGGGCTGTGAGTGCTCGGAGCTACATGTTTCAGGGTTAGTTATTCATAGATTCTTTTTAAAGAATGAAGACTGAGACCATGCTGGATTAAATTCAATAGCTGATGGTTGTTTGTTTAATCAGTTCATAATGCAGAATACAAATTCATACTTCTGTTAACTGCAGAATGAGAGCCATGCAATGTGATTTACATCCATCATAGCAGTCTGTCTGTGTGCATTAATTTCTTCATGCAATGCAGTTAAGTCTTGAACAAAGGCAACTGCAGTGATATTTCACTGGTTAGGACAGATGGGGTACAGGATGTTTAGTTAAAACAATATTTTTAAGGAATTTTGTGTTGTACAATTTTTGTGTTGCATCATCAAAGCTGTGGAAAAGCTCCCTGTGAAATATGGGTCCAATATGATTTTGTTCAAAGGCTGCTATTTCACTGCAAAGTTGGACGAGATGGATACCGTGCCAAGTTGGTGGAATGTCATTTTAAAAAGTTAAAGGTTTATCCCCATGTAACACAGGATGCGCAGTAAATCACCATGAAATCTGATCTTGATATCCGCAGCCAAGGCTGACTGAATAAACCATTAGCAACAAACCATGACTAATCGTATTATGAGCCTCACAGGTACAGACCAATAAACCAATCTCACAGACGTTGTCTATCACGGTGTTTGTGGGAAATTTGCTGTGTGCAAAATTGGCTGCTGTGTTCGCCTACAAAAGGCAGTCACTACACTCTACACTAAATCCTGAGAAACGCTTTGAGGCGTTTCAACAACATAATCAGGCGCTATATCAAATGCAAGGATTATTATTGTTGTTGTTATCCTGTTGATCACATGCATACCTTATTTATTTCCGTGAGCCAGTATTTAAGGTGCAATTTTCTCATGATACGTACACAGCAAAAATGTTTTCAACTGTTAGTGATCAGTCTAGTATAGAGCCCTATTATTGCTGAAGTATGGGGAAAGTACTGAGTTAAGGAGAGAAACGTGTGTCTATTAAGACTGACCCAGTGGTGATACAGTCATCTTGCACACTCTCTGTTTGTCATTGCTAAGTGTGTTGACTTTGATGATGCCCATTTCCAATGAGGTTTTCCCAAGACAAGTGCCTGCTGCTAAGTGAGAGGGGTTTCTTGCCCTTTATCTCCAGAAGATCCAAACCTTGACTTTCAATGTATTTGTAACTTTAATCCCAAGTATCATTTCTCATTGTATGAAACTGGTGTTGATCTATTTAACCTGCTTTTCTCCTGTTAGTACAGCAACTAAATGTATCAAAAGGCAGGCAGTCTGCGCTTTGTATCTGCGGGAGACTAGTCTCCCATTGACATCACAGCACTACATTCACAGGAGGCAATGTCAGTGTTTATTATCACTTTGTTTTTGTAGGACCTGGTGAGGCAGGTGGATTCATGCACCAGCATGCTTGGCGTTGAAGCAGCCATCAGCAGCCTCATCGATCTGACACAGGAAGGCGCTCACTTGTGTCACATCATAGCCAAGGTAAGGAGAGATCTGAGCTCTCATTAATCCAATGTCTCCAGTTAATGAGGGACTGAATTGAGTTTGCTCAGTGTGTTACTTATTAGCCAGCAAAATATGCAGTCCCTCTACTTTACAGCGTATCCTGTGAGGCGCTTTGAGATGTCCCGCTGATGTGAAAGGCGCTGTATCAAACGCAAGGATTATTCTCATTATTTTTGCTGAAATACAATTGTTTAGTGAAAATCTATGTCCGATAAAAGAGAGCTTCGGCGTGGAAGCAGAGCTTGACTCTACGGCGTGTGGGCCTTTGCTGTGCATAAATAGGCTGCTGTGTTTGCGTACAAAGAACACAGTCACTACGCTTTACAATACATTTTGTGAAGTGCTTTGAGGCGTTTCAACAACATAATCAGGCACTATATCAAATGCAAGGTTTGATATTATTTGGTGAGAGTGTTTTTTCTTTGTAGCGATGGAATGCTGCACCATCATTGGGAACTTCAATTGAATTCTATGCCACTTGCATATTGGTAGCAAAACGCAAGTGACATTGGATGCTTCCTTGATTGTAGCATTCGGTTGGGTGAAGCTTTTGGATAACCTTAAGGGAAATGGTTATATTTCTTGAGTCAGTGCATGATCGTTTGACATTTTAGAGCAGGGTTATTTTTGTTCCATATCTAATATTGCGACTGAACGACATTGGAGCTGTTTCCTGTGACACATGCACTCAGACATCCAACGTCATGTTTCGTCAATTGGTGGTTTGTAATCTGGACATCCAGCCTTCTGTGATATTCTATCCTTTTCGGTCTGTAATTGTGCACGAAAAAAAGGTGGACCCGTAGTACAATCCTGCATTCAGGAGATAGCTAGAGAGGGTCAGTATTCTCTCCCTCCATCTCCACGTTCGAAGCCTACCTCCAGACTCTCTTCTTTGACCCCACTTTCAGTCACCCTCTTCGGCTTCCCCCCCACCCCCCCACAACTTGGGTGCCCAACCAGTTGCGTAGAACTTTTTAAGACGTCCTCCCAACATGAGTGTAAATTGCATTTCAGTGCAAGGAGTTGGTCACTGTACAAGCACTTTCCGCAATGAAGGGAGATTCGAAAGCCGAGTACATTCAGAGAGCTGGCAATGACTGTAAAATGTTCCCTCTTGTTGCAGTGAGACCCTGCACCAGCTGCAGAGATCAGTAATCAATTATAGTAATCCTACAATAATCCATTGATCAATTCAAAGAATAACTTGGCTCATGAAGAGGCGGATACCAGCAAAGTGCAGTGAACAAACAATGATTTTATAACAAGAAATAGTTACTGAAATAGTTCAACCATTTTATAATCAAGGGTGGACCAAGGTTCACTTCAGTTAACACATTGAGTTTCACCGCCTCAAAGAGCGGTAGGATCTTGATGGGTAAGGATATATGTGTGTGTGAGAGAGAGACAGAGATAGAGATTGATAATGCATTTAGCACTGTACAAAGCAACAAGGGATGGTTCTGATTAGAACAGATTCCTATCACAACAGAAGCAACCAGCCATTTGAATACTTGCGTAGTATTTAAACCATCCATAGAGAAAATATTTCTGCCTCCAATTCTATTGGAATTTTGTGTTGTCTGCCCACAGTGAACAAAACCTCAACGTAGAACTATGAATTTATGAAGTGGGAAGAAAAGGGAGCTATAATGAAACAGAAATCAATAGGCGACTGTCCTTAGCTTAAAGCGGTAATAAGCAGTCGAAACTCATCTTTATTACCTCAGATCACCGAAGGTCCACTTGGATGCTATTGATCCAGCTCTGAGTTTCAAACTATTTCCTACAACCATTTCCTACCATGAGTGAGAAACAGTCACAGAGTTTCCTGGTCAAAAAAAAGTGGAAGGAGAGACATTATCCGTATTGCCTTCTGTGAAGTGCTCATTAAGCTATTGCATCTCGATTGAGCTTACCTACACTTTGTAAAACTATCTGCAGTGAAGAACGTTAGATATTTTTATCCTGGCTCTGGTGGAGTGATCCAAAGCAAGGAGACATAAACTTAAAGTTCCAGCTAAACCATGGTAACTGTGAAATCGGAAAACAATTCTTCACACGTTGTGAAAACGTGAAAGGCTTCGGCCCAGAAGGCTGTGGAGGTAGAATCGATTAGTACGTTTAAAGGGTTGATAGATACTAAAAGTTTGGAGAAGTGGGATGAAAAATTCTGCCATGATCTAATAAACTGGTGTAAACTACAACCCTCAGACCAGTCTGGCTGGTGTTGCATTAACAACCAGGTCTCTTGGGACAGCTATACTTAAGGCTTGATGTACAACGAAAAAGTACAATGCCACATTAGCACAGGCAGACCAAGGTAAGTGTTTCTTAGGGAGTCAGAAGGGTAGAACTTGAGAGTCTTGATGCAACACGTAAGTGTTTGTAATCCTTAACATGAATGCAGCAGATGAGCACAGTAAGTGGTGGCTCTCGCTTGTCTAGAGACGTGACTCACACCCTAGGGAACGGAGTACTTACCTCAAGAACCGTCAGCCAGTTTCCCTAAAGACTCTCACTGCTCAGAACTTGTTTTGCAAAGTGACATATAAAGGGGAAGCGGGGGAGGGGGCACGAAAAAAAACTTTGTCGCCTCACTTACCTCTGGTTGAGATCTCCCACTTGTTACACATGCCTGCACACGTCCTTGTTCCACAAAGATTTCAACAGCAGCAGAAATAATATGGCTACAAGCAAGCCATGTGGCTTTTGAAGTTTTATGTAAAGTGTATATTTAAACTAGTTACACGTTCAGGACAATACACCCCAATAGCCACACTCATTTTTTTTGGGTCTAGAATGAACTTGTGGAGATTCCTGAACTCCCATCATTCCTAATTTCCTTTTGAAGGCAACATCAGGAGCTTAGGGAGATAACGGGAGGAGGTTGAGGACCAGGTAATAAGGAAACCAGTCAGTTTATCGGGAAATGAGCAAAATCAACTCAAGGAGGATTAGAAATCATCAAGAGTGTTTGTAAACAGTTTGTGTCTACAAATATGGTACTAGTGATCTAAACGATCCTTAATAATCCTTGCATCTGATACAGCACTTTTCACATCAGGAGGACGTCTCAGAGCGCGTCACAGAGTATATACTGTGAAATGTAACAACTGTGAAGGCAAATAAGTCAGCCAATTTGCACTCAGCAATATCCCACAAACAATCATTAAGTGATTGACCAGTTTGACTTGGGGACATCGTTGGCCAGGACACCAGGCGAAACTCCCTGCTCTTATCAAATAGTGCCATGGGATCTTTAACATCCACCTCACCAGGCAGATGTGACATTTCACCTGAAGGACAACACGCCTGAGAATTCAGCACAACCCAGCGCTGCATTGGAGTCTCAGCTTAAACCGTTTCGAGTTCAAAGCCTCGATGTGGGGCTTGAACCCACAACTTTCTGCCTTAAAGCTGGCATTGATGGTTAAGGATTCAGATTTGGTTTGGGTGTGGGTGTGTGGGGGGGGGGGGTTGGTTGGGAGAGGGAAATGCTGCTTTTCACTGAGGGATAACAAGTTAACTCGATTTCAAGATAGCGGCTCCAAGCATCAGTCATTATTGAAACGATTTCTCACAAATTGAAGTTACAAACGACCAGCTTCCCACTTCTTGAGCAGTGCTAAATTCAAACCCACTCTCTTTGTCAGCACCTGCACACTTCCTACGCTGGCGCTAGCGAGAGAAGGATTTAAATTCTCATTTCTGGAGGAAACCGAGCCGGTGACCCCAGTTGACCTCTCTGTTGAGGCTTATTATCTACAAAGGCAATTTCTCTCCATCTGTGAATTCCCTGTTCCTTGTAAAAGATTTAATAACTGCAGCAGGAATAATTCATACATTATTGAACGGAGAGCACAATAGTCTGATCCGCCGCCTCTGCTCGGACCTGCTTCTTGTCTCTGATATAAGCAATGCAAGATTATTATAAGTGTATAATGCTACAGATTCCAGCAGCGTTGCCTGTTGTACTTTATGCCACTCAACACGCTCTTTATTAATTAATTCTCCTAGTTTATTAGAACACAAACAAGTGGTCATGTAATTTCCATAATAAATGTCCAAGGCTTGGTGCTGGAGGTAATAACTTTGCTGCAAACAGTTAAAACAGCATTTTTATTAACTCCAAAAAAAAAGAATCTAAACTCTGTAAATGTATTTTTTCTCTCTTTTACGAACGTGTAAAAAACCAACATGCTCTATTAAAGTTTGCAGCAGCACCTTGGGAATGAGCAAAAAAAAAAGTTCCCGATAATTAAGATGCAAGGATGCATTTGTTCGCTATACGTGTCAGTGAAACTTCAGATCCACATCGCACTTGCATATATTTTAATTAACATCCCTGCCTCAATCCATCAACAAGTCGCGGCAGAAGATAACAAAATCGTCACCTTGTCAACCCTGACACTGCAGGAGGTTTCACAGACCCCAACCCTTTGGTAATTACTCACCTGGCTCTTAGTGCGCCCTCTGTTCATTTCAGCTCTGACTGTTGGCCCTGCACATTCGCCAAATCATGCAAACGCAAAAAGGTGACAAACAAATGAACAAGGTCTGTCAATTACATCACTGCCTCACCAAAGCTGTTGCCCTCAGCAACAACTGTTGTCAGCGAACCGATAAGTTACCATTGGAACATTACAAGAAGTTCCAGTCATTGTTGCATTATAATAAGTTACCATTATACAGTAAAACTCACATAAGTCTGATCTGTATAAATCGTTTAATCGCATAAGTCATACACCTGCCCAAGTCCTGTTCAAGACATCCTTTGCAAGTTTGACGTAACTCATCCTTTGCATAAGTCATATTAAATGAATGGTCCCAAGTGATATGACTTATGTTTACTGTAATAGATTACCATTGTAACATTACAAGTTAACATTATAATGTTACAAATTATCATTGCAATGTTACAATCCATGTAGTTCTAGTAACTGTGACGTTAATGGGATTGCCCAGCCTCCTAG